AACGTATAAAAAAAATTCTTTCACAATTGTGTAACCATCGGATAATCATTTCCATATTTGGGACGGTCTCACCTCGACTACTGCATGTACATATCAAGTTGCTTTACAGAGAACATCCGAACATTAAAATGATTAAATTATTAAAACACACAGTATATAGTTATTTATGTATTATCCTGTATTAGCAAATAAAATGACAGCTTTGGTTCAATGAACTCAGGCAAGTTGTTCAGTAATAAAATGATTGATTGGCAGTTAATTATGCAGCAATACTTGAATTCCCAAGCTACTTGCAAAGCGCTTGTGTCGTCTTCATGATGTATATGTCTTTATTATTACTTTTATACAAGTATAATAAATATTGTAAATTAGGATAATTTAGATTAAATAAAATTTGAAGTTTCTCTCTAAAACCTACTTGTTTATTATAAATTTTACTCTAAATATGACCCCAATCTTAAAAAAAAAAAAATCAAAAATATTCCAAAATTTTTATTTTTTTATTGCTTATTTGCAAACTTTTATTTTATTGTTTAATTATTTTACAAAATTTTTATTTTTAATCTGATTTCATTTTAATCTGTCACAGTTAATATTATATCCGTGCAAAAAACCACAAACTATTTGACCAGACTTGTTGACAAAAGACCAGCAAATTTACAATTAACCACTAGTTTGACCAACAACTTTGAAACCCCAAAAATGATTAAATTCGGTACCTGCAACTAATTATGCATTTATGTATTTTCCGAAAGCTACCTCTAATAATAAGGTACCTTCCTGTTAAAAAAAATCAAAAAATGGAAACACTCGCTACATGCAAAGGTCAATATTTTACTAAGTAAACTACCTTTGAGCTTCTAAGTAAAGTTCAACACATTTATTTTAAAAGCTTCATGCAATTGAACAGATATTTATCGAGGTATTTAATTTTCTAAAAAAATCAATGGCTCGAACATAAGCTACCCGTAAAGTTTTTGTGTAATTTTTTTTTGTCAAAAGGGGTAGCTTATTTTCGGAAATATATGGTAATCGCAAAATTTTTTTAAAATAAATAAATTGATATAGACAATATATTATAAGCCAATAATATATCTTCTTTTTTTTTTTAACTTTTGGCAAACATTAAGCTAAATAGCATTCTAATGTACTAAAATTATAAATTCATCACGTTTATCAACATAATATTATCTATCTACTTCTCCGAATACAATATCCATAGTACCAATTACTAATTCAATCATAAAAACAAAGATTAATATTACGAATACTGTAATATGAGTATGCAACCGTCTAATAAATACCTGTAACCATATCAGGAATATAATGTCCACGAGACATAAAATCTGATCCTGCAAGATGAGCGAAGCCTGGGGCACGGATCTTACACCTATATGGACGGTTCGTTCCTAAAGGCATATGAAATTGTTGTTATGATTTCAATTCAACATTGAAAGTTATAAGAAACCTAGTTAGCTCACCATCTGAAACCAAAAAAACACCAAATTCTCCCTTGGGGGCCTCTATTGCAGTATAAGTTTCGCCGGGAGGAACCGAGTATCCTTCCGAATACAATTTGAAATGATGAATTAACGCCTCCATATTTTCTTTCATAGATGCTCTATTTGGTGGTGCTATTTTCCAATCATCAACCTTCACAGGTCCAGGTGGCATTATATTTAAACATTGGTGAATAATTCTCAAACTTTGTCTCATTTCTTCCATACGACATAGATATCTGTCATAGCAATCTCCTGTTGAGCCAATTGGTATATCAAACTCAACTTTATCGTATGCATCATAGGGTTGAACTTTACGCAGATCCCATTTAACACCAGAACCACGTAACATCACCCCAGAGAAGCTATAATCCAATGCATCTTGCATGGTAACAATTCCAATGCCTTTTGTACGATTTATCCATATGCGATTTCCCGTTAGCACCTCATCAACTTCATCAACACGAGCACTAAATTGTGTGGCCCATTGGTAAATGTCTTCCATTAAACCTAAGGGTAAGTCTTGTGAAACACCTCCAGGACGAACGTATGCTGCATGTAAACGAGCACCAGAAACACGCTCGTAGAATTCCATCAACTAGAAGAATAATACACAAATGTACCGTTCGTCGTATTATAAATAATAATAAATTGAATAATTTGATTAAAGTGAGAATTAATCAACCTTTTCACGTTCTTCGAACATCCATAAGAAAGGAGATAATGCACCAATATCTGAAAAAGTATATTATATAGTTATACGTCATTGATATCAATGGAATCTTTTCAAGCCAAATCCATTCTTTTGAGCGATAAAATTAGAACATTTAAAAAATAAAAATAATAATAATAAAAATAATTGAAGATAAAATTTAGTGCATGAACAATAATTACCCAATGCATGAGTCGTAACAGCCATGATATGATTCTTAATTCTAGTAATCTCTGCAAACATAGTTCGAATAACTTTTGCCCTCTCAGGAATTTCAATATTCAACAACTTTTCGACAGCCAACGAATAACATTGTTCATTGGCCATCATTGAAACGTAATCTAGTCGATCAAAATAAGGGAGAGCTTGAAGATATGTCTTATACTCGATAAGCTTTTCAGTTGCACGATGTAAAAGACCAATATGAGGATCAGCACGGACAATTTGTTCACCCTTCAATTCTAGAATCATACGAAGTACACCATGGGCTGCCGGGTGTTGAGGGCCAAAATTTATGGTAAAACCTTGTTTTGTGGACGCTTCCTGAGGATCGGTCCATTCTTTTATAATTTATTGGCATTAGATTTATTAAATATAGAAACGAATTAAAGAAAAACAATAATATTCCGTACCAATTTCTTCTTCCTCTTTGCCAATTATGGAAGCTAATATTTGGAGATAAATATAATTAGAACATGTTATAGTTAAATTGACAAAATAATTAAAATTAACTCACAATTAAGTCCCTCAAGTATAAATTCGTCAGTCTCTGCATCGGGAGCGACACGAGATGGTAAGGGAGTATTAACTGCAATAGCGTAGGGACTATGTTTATGTTTTTTCTTTTTATCGTCTTCTAAAACAGTTGAATTTTTTCTGGTTAAAAGATTGCTACATAAAAATAATTTTGGAGGTAGTTGTTTTCGATCTAAGACAGCTATGGATCGAGAACGAAGTAAATGAGTCCTGCATATAGTTGGAATTTGCCTGATTAAAGTCATAACAAAAAAGTTGTACAGATCGAGATGTTTGATTATTTACGTATCAGTTTTATAGATAGGAATTATCTTTTGTCTGATTGGTTGATGCAATTCAATTTCTAATTTATATATTGATTTTGTACAAGTTTCACTAACGATAATAAAAATACCCTAGCTTACCAAACAATTATCCTATTTACTGACCCATGCACAATTGCTGTATGTCGAAGATAACTAAATCACTTGAAAAAAAGTGCCTGAAAATGTTATCGCGAACCAATGCGTTTTACCTTCTTACATTCAAATAAATGATACGATTTGTTTCGTAACGGAAAGTTTAATAACAATGAATTCCAATATGCCCAAACTGATTAACCTGAAACTGACTGAACTATTGAAACTAAGTAATAACTTTGTGGATGATAAGAGGCTAATGAAATGAGAATACTGTACTAACTGTTTGTCTTTCTTTAAGGTGATAGAGGCAATAGCAAATATTTTATATATTTATGAAAAATAAAAGAGAACAAACATTATACATTTGGCAAATTTTCAGGCAAACATGAAAGGTGTGAGATTGAAAATTTTGACAAGTATATTTCTCATTAATGATGCCCGACGAAACTCATGTGACCTGACAAAACCATATAGTTTCGTCAATTCGTCAATGACGAAACATATGAGTTTCGTAGTTCCGTCAGGCATCCATACTTATCTAGTTTGTTATCAAAAAAAATAGATTTTAGGTGGTGAAAAGGAAGCTTATATTTTTTCATGTAGAATTTGAAACAAGTTTATTAATAATGTTAGTAATATTGGTGCCTACATGCGCCATTGAAAGATCCAGCAGGTAATCGACTATATTGCCTACAATCCTGATGACTATATACTATATTGAAGTTTAATAGTTTCGTAATTCAAAATTCTTCATTATATCGAATCTTTATCGAGAGTTCATTATAACGGGAATGTGTTATAATTAGTTTTGCGTAGTCTTATTTGATTATCATTTAGAAGGTATATAGTAATATAAGCTTTAGTAGGCTTGAAATGTTTGGAAATTTCTTCATTAGTTGGAGCTGAGGGAAACGAAATGAAAGCCTTCCGTCTCTTGCTTCAACTGGGTCCTGATTTAGGTTCAGAATCCGAAAAATTGAACCTAAATTAGGTTCAACATTGGGTCTTAGTTTAAAATATAGAGCTGACTTTTAAATACATAGTAATGGAAAAAAAATTTTATCTATTAATTAATTTCTTTCTTATACCCTGTCATTAACCTAAATATATTATTGTATCGCAAGGAAAACACATTAAATGAAACAAACATGTCATTATATCGCGCGAACAATTACATTTAATAAAATAAAATAGCGTGTAAACTTTTAAAATGCGAAAGCATAAAACCTATACGCCTGAGAAATGGTCATAATGAATGAAGCTAACAAAAAATCTTAATGACACAAAATCAAACAGCAACTAGCGTATAGAAAAAATGAATCAGAAAAAAAGATAAATTCGTCGCAAACGTCAGTCAACAACTAATTAGAAGAGCAAAGTGAAAGCCTTATTCTACGGAATTTTAGAAAGTCCGGCTCCCGTTTCACCTTAACCAAATTTTAGATTCAACAGCTGATTTTTAATAGAGTATATGACTGACTTTTTTGCTGGAGCTGGGGGGAGAGAAATCAAGCCTTATTTTACCGAATTTTAGAAAGTTCGGATCTAGTTTAGCTAACTCTAATTCAGGTACAATATCCAAAAATTGAACGTGAATTGGATTCAACATTTGGATACAACCCGCCACCAAAATCATGTACGTTGAGTTTAATATAACAGAATTACGAATACAAGATTTTCGAAAAAATAATCGTTTTATTTATTCAAATTGTTCATTCAAGAATTTATTTAATTTATAGCTACGAATTCTAAATCGTATTACATTCAAATTTGAATTAAATCAAATTTTTTTAATACACGTATAAAGCTTTAAGTCTGAATCCATGTTACCAGTAAAAAGCGGTTTTATTACGTTTTCGGAAGCTTTTTTGCTCGTTCGACATCTTTAATATAGGAAGTTTGATTCAATACTTCGAAGCTTTTTTTTTTTGCTTCGGAAAATTATTAGACTTTTCAAGAACAATCGAGTACCTAAAACATAATATTAATAAAATCTATTTATTTAAATATGGTAGTAACTGAAAAAAAAAAACTATGCCTCATAAAGTGTTTTCCTGTACTTATTCTGATTCGGATTCACTGTCTTCAGTACTTGATCTTCAGTACTTAATTGCTCATTATATATATTTGATTCTCTGAATTTACTAGATCAATTGTTAGATCGACTTTTGTGAGTTAGGCTAGATATTCGAATATAAGAGCAATTAAAACCAATGTAACTGTATTGTAGTAATTTTTCAGTAAGAACATAGGCTAACAAGATCAATACGTGGGTAGTCAAATTTGTACAAGTAATCTCTTCAGTATACGCCAATATGAATTACAGAAATTTTCAAAGATGCAGATAACATCCAAAGATTCCTATAATGTTCAATTCGTGGCTCTTTATTGCGCTGTTTACTTTCATCATTTTTTCCATCCTCTTCTCAAGCTCACAGTGACAACTACACAAATAGATAAATGGAATGGTTTTAATTTGTTTATTATGATACTTTTTATGGTAAACATATAAATAGCCGTCTCTTTTTTCATAGAACTTTACGATCACAAGTGATCATAAATGTTAATGTACCTGCAAAAAACTTCATCGGTACCATTTTTTTCTAATTCGTTAATTATTTAAGAAACACTCACATCTATCTCAAGATCCATATGCGTAATGCTTTCTCCTTCAATATCCATAAGTTTTTCATATATCGTATGTTCAAGCTCTTTAGCGTTTTCTTTTTTCTTGCAGATGTTTAAATTTTAATTTTCACATTTCCTTTTTCTGCTTTTATTTATACGGGTTAACACTCTAAGCATGTTTTTTGACTATTTTGAAATGCAAAATGGGTCTCATAATTCGACAGGACAAACAAAGATGCAAAATGCTTATTTTCATTTAGAAAATGACAAAGAAATAGTTTATAAAGAGTTTTATCTAAAAACTTACAGTGAACGTATTAAGAGTTTACTTTACCGTTTCTTGGCATTTAGTACTTACATATAGTTAGTAATTGTCCGAAACGTAATAGACAATTTACAATGGATAACTAAGGAATTGTTTATTTAAATTACATATGGGTGCTCGAAAGTAAAATCAATCACGATCAGTGTTAACATGTCAATAATGACAATACCAGATAATATCTGGTATTAATAGTATATGTGATTAATTGTGATTACTGATGTAAACCTTAAAAATCAATCTGTTCGAATTGCATTCTCTACAAGAGGTTCTATAGTAGATATTGATGTTTACAAACATACACATTATTTTCAGATATATGAAAATAATTGTCGCTGCACTCAATTCTCTATACAAAACTGCTTTGCACTAACAGTTCACAAAACACAAGGCTTAACCTTACCAAAAGTATCTCTTGCTTTAGATGAAAATATCTTCTCTTCCAGCCAAGCTTACGTTGCTCTTAGCAGATGTTTCACCTGAGATAACGTTGAAATATCTCACCTTAATGAATTTGTAATTCTTGCCAATGAAGATGTAATAGTAGAATATCAAAGATTAGAAAATATAGCTAGAACAAACCTCATACCACTTTCATAACTTTAAACAATTTATCTATATACCACTAATCTTACCAATATAATCATTAAACCCATTCTACCTAATACAAACATAAAATTGACAAACTCAGTAAATACTATTCACAAAAATTTATAACATTTAATAACCTTATATACTTATCTACATGTAAAATAAATATTATTATTTTTACTATTCATTAAATTTTGCTTATAATATGTTTAATCCAAAATATTTAAATAATAACAATTCAAATTTTCTATTTAAAAAGCTTATATATATCATAAAAATAAAATTTTCTATTATAAGGAAGGATTCCATATTCTATCACAGGTGTGTATTGTGCAACATCTATGTTTTATAATGATATCTTATGATACACTTATTAAAATAAAATAAATTTAGTTCTATTTAATTCATTTTACTGAGATGAATCAAATAATACAAGAATTAACCAATTCTCATCAAGGCTTGAAGAAAGCTCGATATTATCATGTAATTATTGTGCTTTTTTCTTTTTTACCTTTTTAATACAGTCTCATTAAGAAATCAGCTCAATATCAAATATAAAAAAAATTTTAACGTAATATAAATATCAATATACATAGTGCATCATACTATCTTCTAACAAAAAAAAATATAACATATTGTCGCAAAATAATGTGCAGGGGTGTTATTTAGAATAATGGCCCAAATTAAGCTTAATTTAAACCAAAATTTGTAATTTCACCCCTGCGTATTATTTCGCAACAATACAGAACACTTTTTACATAGATTTTGGAAATTTCAAAATATCAATTTTTTTTTTAATTATAAACTTTTTTTCTTTAATTATTAGATACAAAATAGAATTTTATTTTGATGAAATTTTGTGAATAAATATACTTTTTTAAAATTTTGCTACTTGCAATCCTTAAGTGCTTCATAATATCCAACACTTCCTTACATTAACAAATCAAATATCTTACATCAATCAACCAATCAGAAGCACTATTCCTCTAACAAACAATTCTAGTAACTGTATGATCCATTTAAAAATTAAACTAAAACACTTCTAATGCCAACTAAATTAAACAATTAAATAAATTAAACCATTTAACAAATTAAAAATAAACTATAGCAAAACCTTCATAAATGCACTTTCCTGAGACAGAACTTTACCAACATATACTTAAAAAACAATAAGAAAAGGTACATTAATGAAAATCATCTATAAACTTTCGCCTGAATTTAAACATACATTTAAAGAAGATATACATATATAAAAAATATATTTATAAAGGTTTATTATATAAATCAAAAAATATAAAAAATT